GAAAGGAGGGGGGAAAAACAGTACAGCCAAGAGAGGAGGGAGGAAGGGGATTGGTGCAGGAGCAGGTAGACATTTGCAACCCTCCTTTCCTGCTTCCCTCCTGAAAGTTCTTCAGAAATTGGTAATTATTCTATCTGTCTATTTTGTAAAAATGGGGGGTTGCTCCATCACTGCATCATGGAGCGCAAACTTATGGAACTTATTCCTCAAAAAGTAGGACAAGCTGTAAATATATACCTAGCTTGGGTTTAGTTAAGCCCCTAAATGACTGATCCCTATGGATCAGAAGAAAGAGTCAAAGATATCTGGCATTCCTTCCCAGCGAGCCAAGAGCATTAGATAGACTATACTGACCACTTTGCTCAGGCTACAGGACATTGCTCAGAAAAGCCTGAGAACTCAATTGGGGCATGGGAAGTTGTTCTGGCCAGAAATGTCTTTTCTAATCACATGTTTTTGACTTGCCACTCTAGCCCTAATAGGCAGCCATTCGTTCTCTTTGGTAATCACTCCACACGAGAAAACTTGAATGCTGGCAACTTTAACTTTCCCTCTGAAGGGCACCTGGTACGCAGCACTGGTCCTGGTGGGAGCTTTGCCAAACACTTGGTGAGTGGCTGGACTGCCTGGTACTTGATTAGTTTTTATTATCAAATAGGAGGGGTTGGGAGTTGAAGAAAAGGAAACTTTTTCAGTTAGTGTGTTGGTTAAACCCTGAACTTGAAGTTGTTTTAGAATGAAAAGAAATAATAGGAAACTGACTGTATTTTTATATAAGTAGTAGGTATAATTTGAAAACGTCATATTCAATTTTCAGATATTTGAAGGAAAAAGATTAAAAACTTACATTCACAACCCACTGTTTAAGTTGTCAGAGTAATACCATTAGTAGAATAAAAATTTCAAATTAATTTGAAAATAGACAGCCAGAGAATCAGTGAGCTTGAAGATAGGTCAATAGAAACTTCCCAAACTGAAATGTAAAGAGAAAAAAGAAAAGAAAAAAAAAACCTAGAAGAGAACATACGCAAATTGTGGGACAGTTTCAAAGGGTGTAACATACATGTAATGGGAATACCTGAAGAAGAAGAAAGAAAGAAACAGAAGAAATATTTGAAGTAATAATGGCCAAGAATTTTCCAAAATTAATGACAGACACAAAACCACAGATCCAAGAAGCTCATAGAACACCAAGCAGGATAAATACCAAAATCAACACATTGGCCCTTCATATTCAAACTTCAG